ATGCAGCAGATGCTGGGTCAGATAAAACGGATGGCAAAACGTCAGGATTGGCTGGCAGAGCAGACCCAGATGATGTATGACATGCAGACCAGTTACTTCGCCAAGCTAGACATTGATACTTCAAAATTCCAATGGGCTGACTGGGATTTAGAAGAATGGATGGGCTCCGACTCAGAAGAGGACGATACTGAGGGAGATGAGGAGGCCGAAGAATGAACCTGAACAGCTGTTTTATTTTTATTTTAATTTTTTTTCTTGTTTTAGTTGTTTTTGTATTTTCATTTCGAACAGTGAACTAATCTGCTTTTTGTTTTGGATTGTTTAAATTTTGTTTTAGTTTCCTAGTAGTTGAAAATGCGAGATTAGGATTGTAATAATTTCACATTAGTCAGTGAACTTTTCTAACACAGTGGACACCACAGTTTTTCCATTGTTTTTCAGAATTTGGTGATGAAAAAAAAAAAAAAAAAAGCCAAGGACCAGGTGTGCATGCTGTTGATCGAAACTTTAACTTCACGGATTAATTAGGGAACTATCTTGTACCTTTGTAGATTCCTGTTTTTCTATTCTTCAATTGTGCATAATGTGACATTGGGGACAATGTCATCTTTAGTTTGGGGGTATGAAAAATTTGAAAATTTTTTATTTGTGTTTATTTTATTTTCATGTTTTGTTGTGTATGCCAATGATGAATTGTATAAGTCTATGATGAGAATAGGGTTGTTGGGATTTTATTTTTGAGAAATGTTAAGCATTGCTTCAAGTTTATGTTGATTGATTAAATTTTGATTGAGGTTTGTTGAGTGGTTCAACCACCATTTTCATTTATTTCGGCATGCTTAGATTCATGTTATGTGGTTAGGTAAAGTCTTGATAATGTTGGTAGACTCTAGAACCTAGTTTATAAATGCTTGAGGCAAAATTCTAGGAATAGACATTATTGAGGAAGTGATTTAGGCGATTTTTCGGAACGTTTGAGCCTTTCCAGCCGACCATGAATTCTATCCCTAGTTACCCATTTGAACCTTATGAAATCATCATTGTCCTTTTTTGTGTTCTTGTGCAACCAATAATGCCCGAACCTTTCACCCTAAACACGTCCGCGACCTTTAAGAGAATTCTAAACCTAATGCAAACACAAAGAGCTTGGAGAGTTGTGTGAATGAACTAAAAGATTAGTTTGGGGGTTGTGAGAAGGACAAGAAGAATAAAGGGGTAATTAACCTTAATAAAATGATTATGCTATTGCTAAAAAAAAAAAAAAAAAAAAAAAAAAAAAAAAAAAAAAAAAAATTTGAGAAGTGCACATGCTTGAGGGTTATAAATTGGTTGACTTTGTAGTGGTGGTTAAGGAAGAAAGTGGAAGTTGAGTCGAGTCTTGATGTTTGCTTAAAGAAAACTAAATTCTCTTGCTTTGATTAATCCTGACCGTTTCTTTTAAGCCCACTAACCGAGCCTAACGTTACAAGCCTGTAAAGACCTTCTGATCTTTAGTAATGTCTAATCCTCATTAGTGGAGAGTAGTTAGATACTTAGGCTTATGGAGTCTGCCACCATTTGATAAACTTTGTTTTTCTGCATAAAAATAGTCCGGGAAGTTGGAATGTGGATTAAAGTGGGGATTACCTACTTGGGGAATCAATAGAGAAAGATAGTCGATGCAACTTATAACTTCTTGGAGTGTTGGACTTTTTTCTAGTAATAATTTTTCAATGATCTTTGAGACTTGTTTAAATTCTAGGTAGTTCGTTGTGTTAAGTTGAGTCTAATGTTTTATTTTATTTTCAGTTTTGTTATTTTGCATTGTTTTGGGCGTTTGTTGTTTTTCTTTCTTTGTGTTTTGTACCTGATGCTCGGGGATGAGCATATCTTTAGTTTGGGGGTATTTGATAATCCGAGATTTATACCGTTTTTATTAGGCTTTTTGGTTGGATTGTAGATACTTTTTAGTTCATTTTCGCCTGAATTGCTACTTAATTCTTTATATTTTGTGTTTCAGGCCAAAATAGACATTTTGAGCAAATAATGAGCGAATTAGAGTTTCTAGACTCAGAAGTAAGCGGATCTCAAAAGTTGGGAGAGTTATGAAGCAGAGTGAAGCACTATGAAGCTTGTTTCCATGGGAGAGCATCGAAGATCGAAGATTCAAGCAAAGAAGCAAGCGGAGGACAATTTTGTAATTTCAGAATTCTTCATGAAGGTTCGCCACGGCGAAGTCTATTCTTTGCCGCGGTGAAAACTGTTAAGTACGAGAGTCTATTTTACCTCGTCGCCGCGCCGAAGTCTGCGAATTTTAGTTTTTCCAAAACGCATAGTTTTATTTTAGGAAAGTTTTACGTCTTTGGGCTAGGTATAAAAGAAAAACTTTACCATTTTCGTGGGGGTAGTCTAGTTTTCGTCTGTTCTCATTGAGTTTAGAATAGATTTGAGATTTAGAGAGAAGATTTGAGCTTGAATCTTGTGGATTCTTCAACTAGGGGAGATATCTACTCTTTTCTCTGCATTTCAATATGTTGAACCTTGTGTTTATTGTTTTTCTTGTTGTGTATTTTGATTTAGTTATGAACTAACCCATTTTGGGTTAGGGTTTTAATCAAGTTCGGATTTCTATGGGTTAATAAATTGATTATTGCTATTTCTCTATTCTATTACATAGATTGTGTGGTTATTCTGTTTTTAATGGAAACTATTTGATGAATATGATGAGATTGAGAAATGAATCATATTGAGCTTCTTGGGTAATCACCATTGTAGTATTGGATGCTAGAGATAGATTTGAGAATCAATGAAATCAATCTAGGATTCCCTTAGCTTAATGAACTTAGATCTATTACTCTTCAATTTGTTGGGTGCGGAAGTTTAATAGGGAAAAGTAGGAATTCATACCCTGAGAAGGTATGTTTAACAACTTAGAGAATCCGATTTACAATCTGTGCATGTGAGTGTGGAATTAACATAATCCGTAGAATTCATCCACAGAGTCCGAATAAGGTCAAAACCCTAACCGTTTGTTAAATTGATATTATTCTTGAGTTTAAATTCTTGCTTCCATTAATTAGTCTTTAATACTTAGTAAGTTTTGTTTTAGTTTTAGATTTAATCTCTCCCATTAATCCAAACACATTCGGTTCCTCCAAATTGAAAACAGTTAGGAAATTTAGTGCTTAACAACCAATCCTCGTGGGAACGATACTCATTCATCACTTTATTACTTTGTGCAACTAGTGCACTTGCTATTTATGCATGTTGTAGTTACAACGCATCATCCTTGGTTAGAATAATATTGGGGCTACGGACATTTCTAAAATGGCTACCATATGCGATCATAGGGTTCTCACTATCAAGATTTGAAACACTTGATACCCTTGTCACGGTTCTACCATCCTAAGGACATATTAATACATATAGATATGATTTATATGATATAGTAGAAAATGCTTTTTTATTGATTATTAAACATTATTACAAAGAGTCAATCCTATAATAATTGATTGGCTCTAGAGAACATACTCCAACATCTACCACTTTAAGGGTATATATCAATATATTAATAATAAAAGCAAAATGATATAGAGAATTTGCCTTTATTAATATTAGCATGTGTTTTACAAAGAGTCAATGGCTACAAACATATTGGCTCTAGGGCACCTATACTAACAATGGTGGTGTCACTATAAGAAAACTGGCATTCTGCGTCTAGCAAAATTAGACGCAGAAAGTCACATTTAGACGCTAAGCCATTTTTTGCGTCTAAATTCGGTTGTCGCCCCCTTAGATGCAGTAGGCTGGTTGCAGATTCATAGCGCATCTATATTGTGGTTTAGACACAAAAAGTTTTTTTTTTTGCAACTATCAAAATAGTCGGTAAATGCTGTTCAAAATAGTCCCCCAACTTAGACGCTAAAAGTTCAAGGGTAATTTGGTAAAATTGTATAGCGACTAATCAATTAGTTGCAAAATGTTAGTTTTAGTGTCTTATAATTTGTCGCGAATCCCACACAAATTAGACGCCAAATGTGTAAGGGTAATTTCATAAAAGGCTTCTGCAACTATTTTATTAGTCGACGAATGTATCTTTTTGTGACCAAAATTTAGTGGCTAATTGTAACTCTTTTAGACGCTGAATGTAGAATTCAAACGGTTTTCGCGACTATTTTATTAGTGGCCGAATGTATCTTTTGGTGACCAAACTTTAGTAGTTAATTATAGTAATTTTAGATGCTGAATGTGAAATCCAATAAGTTTTCGCAACTATTTTATTAGTGGCCGAATGTATCTTTTGGTGACCAAAATTTAGTAGTTAATTATAGTTATTTTAGACGCTGAATGTGGAATCCAGTAGGTTTTTGTGACTATTTTATTAGTGGCCGAATGTATCTTTTAGTGACCAAAATTTAGTGGTTAATTGTAATCATTTTAGACGCTGAATGTGAAATCCAAAATGTTATCGCGACTATTTTTTAGACACTGAATATGGAAGCAATTATACTAAATTACTTTTTGCTACTAAAACATTAGTTGCAGAATGTGTTTTTTAAGAGCATTTCATATTGACCTCCAGCGGAATGCAACTATGCTAAATGACTTTTTGCTACTAAAAAATTAGTTGCATAATGTTTTTTTTTTTAAGAGCATTTTGTATTGACCTACATTATACATTCAACATGAACAAAATAATGGACACAATATAAAAATCTGATCACTAAATCAAAAATCATATTTTCATACATATATATATAGTCCATACATGGATTTTTATGCATGATGAGCAATAAAAATCCAAAATGCACTATCACATGTGCATAACCCAAAAGAACAGCATGCACCCACATTTTCCTTTTTCTACCTATCTATCTATGCATAACTAACAAAAAAATGCCCACCCCATGTACACCATCTAACACATATATGCAAACAATCCTAAAAAGATGGTTCTACCCCCATGTCAAAATATCTACTGTCCATACAACACAAAAATAACCATCAATATCGTTAGCATGTCAAGTGTCACCAGTTGCGATATTTGAAATAGCTGTAGCTGATGAGGACGAGTCTTCATCAGTTCGAGAAGGCAAGCGTTGTCGAGTTGGAGCTGTATCAGATTTCTCTAGTTCAAGGGCTATAGTTAGCTGCTTCATCATTTCTAACAGGACAAATTGTTAGTGTTCAAGGCTTTTTATTTTCTCTTTTTGTTGATCAAATAAGATTAGCTGGTCCTCCAACTGTTTAATCTTATTTTTTTGCTGTTGCACAATGCACCTTAACTCTGCTTCTGCTGCAGTGGATTGATGCTCAATCTGTGAAAATGCAAAATTCTGGTTAAATCCGGAAGCTTTACCCAGAACTTCCTCACATATCTCAGCTTCAGTTTTTTCACTTTCCCCTGCTTGTGTTTCCTCTTGCAGCTTTATCATTTTTTCCTACCATCAATTGAATGCATAATCAATAAGTCAACCAACAAACTAAATAGCAACATAAAAGAATACTACAGCACCAAACAAAAATAAGTCTGACGGAGTAGAGAAGCAAGTATCTCAAACATTATCAATCTAATACTAAAAGGAAATTTCTAACATAAAGTTTTTCTTATACACATATAAGCAACAGATTTACATTCACATATCCATGCATAAACATGCTAAGTAATTGGAAAGATAAGGGCTGTTGCATTTTCTCCAACACATAATTCTGCAAGAGGCATATTTATAAATCTGTGTTTTAATTCTGCAAGAGGCAAAAGAAAGCCATATGTATAAATCTGTACATATGTATTTCCCATTTTCAAAATGTTTTAAATCTGTACTACTCATCAAGTGTATAAATCTGTACATATTTATAAATCTGTACATATGCACATAAAGATGCCAAGAAATGATTTTGATAACAACATAGGATAGGAGTTTCACTTTGATGAGGCAAAGTCAAATTTTGGGATTCTGTTTAGGCTTTTGTATTTTTGAAATATAAGTGCCTTTGCTTGTAACAACCGTTTGGGGGAAGCAATAACTTGAAAGACATAATGACTCTGATTGAATCAGACCCAAATAGCTTTTTCAAAGATTCTTTCTTTTCTTTAATTCCAGATACCCCAAATAGCTTTCTTACGTCCTCCAAATGCATAATAATTTAATGAGGATTAAGAGACAAGACTTTGGAATGACCCAAACTAAACCATAACTTTAAAGCTACAGAATATTGAAGAAACAAAAGATTATAGTTTCCTACTTCCTTCCTACACTTAAACACTTCAGTTTGGAGAAAGATACATAAATCACAAGCCATCTTGATTGAATCACATCTATTGTATTGAGCTTCCTCATGAGTTAATAGCCAAGACAGAAGTTGAACTTTAGATGAAACTTTTGCCTTCCTTCTAAGCTCTAAAAGTGGAAATTATAGCAAGAATCATCATTGATTGACCAAATAAAGTATGTTCAAAATAAAATACCCTGATGGTTCTAGATTCCATGCTTTATGTTCCTCTTTTATATCATCCAGATGATGTTCTCTATTTGAGGCAGAAGGGATGTTAACTATCTTCATCATCTTTCAAGTCTAGAAAATTCAAAATTCCACCCAAATGATTTATTAGATAAAACCAGTCTACTCTGAACCTTATTTAATTTATTTTTGCTCTAATTTATCTACATCATTAAATCCAGACTGTTAAGTTCAATCCAAACAGATTATAAACCATGAAACAGGTTTTTCCTACTAGCCAACCACAGCAAAGTTATAAAAGTTTGGTAACACTCAGGAAAACTAAATGCCAATATCAAACAAATGCATAAGCAGCAACATAATTACAGGTGATCAAAAGATGACAGAGAAATGCAATGAGACTCAAATTAAAACAAATCCAGCATGGCAATATGGAACAGTTACGAAAAATGATCAACTTACATATAGCTCTCTTGCTTGTTCATTAATCCACCCTTTCTCCGCGCTCCAACGAGTGTCATGAAATAATTGTATAGGACCGACAGATTCCCCAACTTGTTGCGCCTTAACAGTTCATATCGTCATTGACCATAAATTGAAATAAATTTAGTCAACAGGACAACAATGTTGTATATTTGTATAGGTGAATCATATTAAATACCTTTTCCTTTTTGTGCTGGATAAAGTTCTTGGAACCACCGCGGTGGTTACACCTCATCTTCGACCGGTTCTCAGTGTAAGTTTTTGACCGTGCCTAACACCACAAAATCAGGAAATTAAAATACAATACATATATAATAACATTAAAAGCCATGTTGACCTTACCTGAAACTTTTCACTCGAAAAAAGGTCACAAAGATATATCCAATCATCAGGATCTTTAATTTCTTCTGGTCTATTCTGTAATGCTTCCTCCTTAGTAGCATATGCTTTGAATTTCTTGTGTAGGGCACTCCGGAAGCTGTTGAATCTCTTACACAATTTGTGCTTCAGCCATTTCAGTACATGGGGCTCCGTGACATCAATGTCAAACTTGGTCTAAATTCATCAATAATGTACATGCATTAAACTTATATGGGTATTATATATTATTTTCATAAGGAAGTATGACAACATGGATAATGATATTAAACTACATTACCGTGATCCGAGCAATCATTTGTTTTTCGACATCGTAGGGAACTCTCTTCCAAGTAAGCACTCTTACCGGGGCATAGTTCCTCGCAACTATTCCTACCTCAGTACTCAACTTTGATGCATTTACTCCAGTTGGTACTCCATCTTCTTTCTGAAAGTCTACATGCAACTTTGACTGCGCTGTTTCTAGGAGTCTTTCACATCCAACTCCTCTACTCTTCCCTCTCACGTTCTTCGCCACTATATTCTTTACAAAATCAAAATAATGCACCAACAGTTAATACTATGTTATCACAAGGACGGTTTACATGTTGGTAAAGTAAAATGTATTCTTAAATTTTAAACAAACATTTTACTCGATATCTAAAATCCAAGTATATATTTCAGTATGCTTATATGGACCAATATCATAACTTTACCAGTGATTGTAGCAATTTCAGGTGTCGGTACAAGACTATGATTCTCTGGAACAACATTTGCATGTCTAGCTAGGGTTTTTCTTGTACCAGGAGCCACCTTCGGAATCTGCAAACATCAACATAAGAGAAAACGTACCAGGTAAGATATAAGTCAATTTATACAATTAATCTCATGACATTAGATCATTGGCATGAGATCTGATCATGAACTGCATGTTGTTTTGGCTTAGAAATACCACAACTATGAATAAGAAGGCAACAAACAGGGCAATAAATGAATGAAAATTGCTTTTGATTGATCCCCATGTTCCTGATACCTAGTTTTAAAGTCCTTTAAAGTGCTTAGTTCCTGAATTTATCACCCATATCCAAATGATTGACAAACTAACTAAAGTTGTTTGCAGCAAGCACCTTTGCCCAATCAGCATAAATGTAGCATTCAAACTAACAATACTTTAACTCACACCTTCCCAAATACTACCTCAACAAGCACTATTGGTAAAACATACATGAAATTTAAAAATAATAAAGAAACAAAAGAAATCTGGAAATCACATTTCTTGCCCTGAAATCTTAATAGATATAACCCCTTATAAATGCAATAAATAAATGCAGGTTGTGAAGTGCAGAATTGCAGTTTGTGCAGGGTGTTAAGCTGTTGATTGATTGTAGTTTTTGTAGAAATGCAGTTTGTGAAGTGCAGTTTTTTTTTTGGTTAATTGAATGTAGTTTTTTTTTTTCTGCAGAAATGCAGTTTGTGCAGTGTGTGAAGCTGTTAATTGACTGCAATTTTTTTGTAGAAATGCAATTTGTGCAGTGTGTGAAGCTAATTTGTGCAGTGTGTGGAGCAGTTGATTGACTGCAGTTTTTGTGAAACATTTTGATGCAATTTTCTGTGAAGAAATGCAGTTTGTGCAGTGTGTGGAGCAGTCAATTGACTGCAGTTTTTGTGAAGAAATGCAGTTTTGTGAATTGTGTGAAGCTGATTTGTGCAGTGTGTGGAGCAGTTGATTGACTGCAGTTTTTGTGAAACATGTTGTTGCAGTTTTTTGTGAAGAAATGCAGTAAAATTATCAGCATCAACAAAAACCATAAACTAATTTTACTGCTATTAAACAGAAATAAGAATGGCAATTGATCATATCATAAGTCCAAGCACGCGGCATTAAAAAAATAAAAAGTCACAATCTTTAACTTTGATACGATATTTGCATCAAACCTTCCAAGTGTTTCTACATCTCATTTTAAGATATTAGACCAAATCTAAACATATTCAGGTCCTTAACAAATTAGGCTGTGATTAACATGCACCACCAACATGAATTAAAAAAGAAAAAAAAACTATTATTATATACTTTCCTTTTAGGTAGGATTTGACTCCATTTTACTTGCCCCCGCAAGATATTGGCATCGCCAACTTCAAACTTGTGCGTCCTATTGGCAAAGGATCTAGTCCACCAATTGATAGGGATTTATTTATCTATGATTCATCGAATTTAATGGAAATCTCTATACAGTCATAAAGTAGATTGAACAGAATTATACTTCATATGCATCACCAATCACAATATATGAAGAAGTTTCCAAATCTTCATAAATAAACATTGCAAACACATAAGAAATTGATATTTGCCTTGCGCAGATTAAAATGAAAACATAGGACTAGCTTACAGTTGAACATGTCTATCTATATAGGGGGAGAGTGACCGAGAGTGCTCACAGTTAGGAATTACGCAAGGAAGAAACTTGTACTGATTAGTGTCATCCGAAGTGGTCTGCATCCACCCAGGATCACAAACACATTCATAAAAGAAAGTGCTATTCATAGAAGGTTGGCAATCTCCCCGTCCACATTCCACTTCTTTGCACACACTATCTGCACCCAAAATCAAAACAAACACACAAGAACGACATCAGTCTTCAAAATCAAGATTGACCCAGTTGCTAAAAAGTAGTAATTTAATCCTTCAACTTCTTATCAAAAATAACAATATTGCAGTAGCAATTAAACACACCAATACTTCAACTTCTATCATCACACCACAAGACTTCAATCTTCTTATCAAACACACAAACAACTCTAAGTGAACAAAGAAAGGACGCGTATAATAAACGAAAATCAATGCAATGTCAATAAACGAAAATACATCAGCTTCTAAAAATTTGAAATCAGATTCAATATTACCATGTGAGAGAACTAAAGAATCAAAAATTGTACTTACAGGAGGTTAGGGACTGCCTCGTATTGGATGAATGAAGGAAGCCAAGAAGATCAATTGAAAGATGAAGATGCGTGGAGAAGAGATGAAGTCAGGTTCTGCAGTTCAGAAATTCGGCCAACAGAGATTAAGATGAAAAAGCGTTAGATCGAAGAGATGAAGATGCGTGGGGAAAAGATGAAGTCAGGTTCTGTAGTTGGGAAATTCAGGCAACAGCGACGGCAAACATGCATTCAGAAGAGATATGAAATTTGGGTTGTGCCTTTGGGAAATTTGGGGAAAAAGCTAGGGCAAACATGCGTGGAGAAGAGATGAAATTGACAAAAATGCTTGCTTTATATAGGTTAGGGTATTCTGTAAATAACTTAAAAACCTAAGGGTTCTAATTAGTTATTTAATTTTGAAATATAATTCTATTATGCAAATAAGTCAATTTGTAACTAAAAATTTAGTCAATAAAGAATTAATGTTAGTTGCCTATAATTTAGGTCTGGCGGGAACAAATAATTTGGAGGGAATATGAATTTTTTAAGTTAAATTAGCAACTAAATCAAATTTAGTTGCTGTATATAGTTTGGGGCCCTTGTAATTACTGTCCAAATATGGGATATTTTGGTAATTTCATTTTTCTACAACTAATCATAATAGTTACTAATAAATCCCTAATTATTCGCAACTAATTTAGCTACTAAGGGGTAGTTGCAAAAAAGTGTTTTTTGTAACAAAAAATGTGGATGCAAAATATATTATTTTAGATGCAAATTATCAAATTTTGGAGGGAAAAATCATCCGAAAAAAAATTGCAACTAAATTTATTAGTCACTAAAACAACCGGTTCTGTGACTAACAAAATAGTCGCAAAAAAATAACTTTAGATGCCAAATGTTGGAACATGTGGGCCCCAAAATGTTAATCCTCTTTGCTCGACTAATGTCAATTTAGTTGGTAAATGTAGCCTTTTAGCAACTAATTCTGGTTAGTTGCTAAAAAATTGGTTGCAAAATGTCAGTTTTCTTGTAGTGTGTTTGTTGTAGTAGACTAGAGTTGGGATTGACTTGCTAGGGTTCCATGGTTAGGGGTCAGAAATAATTGTCTTGGATGGATGGGGCCGCAAGACCTAGAGTTGTGTTGCTAATTCAGGAGGAAATCGAGGGATGAAACTGGTTTACCTTCTCTTGGAGGGCTTGGTTCCCTGCCCGGATGGCGGCGTTCTCAACTTCCAAAGTTTTGCACTTGTCAATGTTTTCTTGCACTAGTGTAGTGAGAGCCAAGTGTCTCTAGACATGATAAGGATTAAGCAAACAGAGTAGGAGCGAAAGGAGCAAAAGCGAAGGGAGTAGGTCGTTACTAGTTAGATGATTATCAAGGCCCCACAGTGGGTACAAAATTGTAGATGGTAAAATCTATAGTTGATTTGAGCAAGGATGATCCTATAGGGGCCTGTAAAGACATTGAAAATCATGTAGACCTATAGGGACAAAGAAAGAGAACGTGAAGGCTTGGAGGACACCGATGTGGTGTCCGTTGTATGCACTCCGGTGCTCAAGTCAACATAGCTGAAGGGAATTTATAAGTGAGGCTGAGAGCAGGAAAGGGTTTAGTGGGAGTGTTTGGCTAGGGCGCAACTTGTCAAAGTAGAGTGGCCGAAACACGGCTCTACGACGATTATGGGATTAGAGTACTTGGAGCTAGGCTCTACGGCAGGGAAAGACAATGGTTCTAAGGAGCAAGAACTTAGTAAGATAGAGAGAGTGGTTGTGGTTGAATGAATAATGAGAGGCATTACCTCTGTATATATAGTGAGCCAAGAAAGCTTGAGTCCTAATAGAACTAGGCGTTCTCATAATAGGAGTTTGAGTAAACAAGAAACTCGTAGTGCTAATCCATGTAAAAGTATAAATACTAGTTCATGTAAAATTAAGAGTCTTGGATAAACTAGGAAGTAAGCAGGACTCTGAGTCTTATTTCAGAACCAATATGGGCTAATGGGCAGGATCCCAATTTAGCTTAACTTGTAGAAAGGCCTAACTCGTAGAGTGACCCAGAGTATAAGTTAACCCAGTTCGTAGGGTGGCTTTGATCGTAAAGTGGTCCAACTCGTAAAGTAGCCTAACATGTGGAGAGGGTTGACTCGTGGTGTGGTCCAACTTGTAGAATAAGGTGGGCTATCCCATTGGATGGCCAATCCTTACGATGGATTTATGTGTGGGCCCAACCTCAAATGGGTTAAGGCAGTGGGTCATGGATCGTTTATTTTGTTATTGGGCCTGACAAGGTCCTGTACGATTTTTGGCTCATACAACTATGTTCTGGCCACCGGTTGACAAAATTCTTTTCTATGATATTTTACACATCAACTATACAACTTCCTATTGAGAGATATTATTAATTATTAATATAATTTTTATAATTTATATAAGGTTGTGTTAGTAATATAAATTTTATTTAGACATATTAGTTTAAAAGAACAAACACATCATGTATTAAAACCAGGAATGACAAAAATATTGTTTGTTTGTTATATATATGTTGCAGCAGCACATTACCATCAAAGGTTTGTACTAGAGTTGTTAAGTGTATTGTTTTAGTGTCCTTAAGTTTAAGGGTTTGAGTCTCTTGGAAAACATTTTTATCAATGATGATTTTTTAGGGGTAATATGGTCAAATTATTAATAAATCATGGGTAAATTTGTAATTGCAATGGTCAAACTTGGTCTTTCATCTAGTTTAACGAAAAAAAACAAATGATGGTGTTCTTGATAGTTTCCGTAGTTATTAGATGCTAAGTGTCAATTTTTTGAGTTTCAGAGGGTGTAATTTGTATTCTCCCATCTTAAAATTATTAAGTGTTTGGTGCAACTAAATACTATTAAGTATGTTGATACTTGATTTTGACACCAACGACTCACACGTGCAAAGTGCTAAGCTGTTTTTAGAAATTATACGTGAATGATTGGGATAATCAAATGCAAAGACTAAATTATAAATGAGAGAAGGTTTTTAAAGTGGTTCGGATGCTTAAAGCGAATCCTATGTCCACTGTTCTTTTATATAAGAGAGATTACAAGAGGTTGCATATAGCGAACAGCAAGCAGAGGTACAATGATTGAGTGTTCAGATAGAATATCAAGTCAGTCTCTTTCTCGCAGGTTATCTTTGTTCTAAAAGTTAAAGATTACAATCAAAATATGGGTTTAGTATCAGAATCCTAAAAATGAGAGAGGGAGTCCTCTATTTATAGTAGAGGAATTCAAGGTAATGATTACAAATCTGCAAGTGGGTAGGTGTTGTGCAAGCCCTTCTTTGCGTCTCATTGGCTGATAACTTAGGAAATATCCTCAAATTTCTTGGGGCTTAGACAGGTGTGCGGCTCTCATTCACTCATAGACAAAACCTAAATCTGCCAAGTTGGTGACAACCATATTCTTATTGTCTTGGGGCAATGTGGCAACTCCTGGATAGCACAAAGCCTTCCTGAACTCTGATTGATGCTTACTGATGTAAGCTTACGTCAGCCATGATTTTTTAGGTGTAACAAAGTGTTTGAAAAAAAAAAAAAATGCGGCCACGAAGTTTCAAATACCTCCACAACATTTTATAAGACTAAAATAGCCTTACACTCTCACTTGCTTCCATCTTTCATCTTAAGGAAGTCGATAAGAAAAAAAAAAAAACATGATATTTTCAGAAACATTATTATAATTAGAAAAAAAAAAAAAAGTATACATAATAGTTATACAAAATCATCAGTCTTGTGATTTAGGAATAGGAATGTGGCACATGGGATTTATGTATAATATTAGGTTTTTTGATATTTTAATAATTTCAAAATATAAAAAATAATGGGTTGATGGTTGTTTTCATTGATTTACTGCATATAAAGTAAAGGTGTTTTTATAAAAGATTTAAGGGTATCTCAATCTTTACATGTTAGATTCTTGTGAAATTAAATAACAAAATTTATAAACTGATGTTAGTATATTGGGTGTTTTTACCAGGAACAAATAAATGGATATTGATAAAAATAGCCAAATTTTAAGGGTTTTAAAAAATAAACCACATCTTCGAACCTCAAACTATATGAATAAACAGATGCATCTTTTGACATATACACCTCTTTTGTAGTTGTATGATCCATTACAACGTCTGAAATCTCCAATAATTGACATACACTAAGCCACAATTCGCTTATGTAATCCCACAATTCGCATATGCGGACAAGGTGGTTTTATGCGAATTTTTTTTTGAACAAAATACGCTACTCTTCTCAATTTTTTTTTCATTTTTCACAATAATAATACATATTAACCAGACATAATCATATAGTTTATGAAAAAAAAAAATCTCTAAAGTAATATAATTATTTCAAATCCAAACCTAAACCGAACTATAAGATAACCGTGTTTCCAAATCAACTTTGAAAGTTGACCAAAAATTCAAGGGAAAAAAAGATTTTAAGCTGAATATTATGTATCTACCAAATAAATTTGGTAGTTGTGCAAATTAAAATAATTGTAAGGTAGCATCAACTCGATGCTTTAAAATGGACAGCATAATTGGCATCAATAGTTTAATTAATTGCTAATGGCAGGAAAGTCGGTGGCCAAAGGTCTTGGCCTTTTTGGCTTGACCATTTTCAATTAAACTACTTTCCCCAGAATTGCCGTTGCTTCAGCTACAGTTCAGCTTCTCAAAAGAGGCTCCTTTTTGTCCTCCCATTTATCCAACCGCGTCATTGCTTTCTCCACCTGAAATTCCAATCTGCTCGTTAATGCTTACTTTATATATACATATATTCAAAGGTCTTTGGCATTTATGGTTCATCAAATGCTTTCAAGGCATTAATTTAAAGGGTTGAACTTGAGGAACTTTTGGTACTTCTATTCTATACGTGAATTTAAGATTGTGAACTACTAGAATTAAAGCAGTATGTGCATCCAAGATTGTGAATAGTGATTCATAGAACTTGCCTCTTTGTTCCAGTCCGTGCGAAATGTTACCCACAGCAAAATGATGGTTTGCATTGCTGTTCCTCCGATCATCCCAGACCATATTCCCTGCTTAAATTATAATTTTTAAATATATACAGAAGCTTTAGGACTTTGATCACAATATATATATATTGGTTTCATTAATTAGTTTTCTGGTTTAAAAGTAATGTTGCCTTAGCACATTAATTCCAATTTTGCTAGCAAAAGAATGAGTAATTGAATGAAAGGTTTAATATTATCGTACCTTTACACCAAGGTCGAACTTGAAGCCAAGAATACACCCCAATGGAATCCCAACAACGTAATAACATCCTACATTTACATATGCCACAAAAGCTTGCCATCCACATCCCACCGCCACCCCTTTGTCAATATAATATTTTTTAATTAATTTCAAATAAATATGTAAGCTGAAGTGAATTAACAAATAATCTCTAATTAGTAACATAAACTCAACTGATTCTTAAAACGTTGAAGTTCTTTGTTAGGCGATTCTAAGGTTAATTAAAACTGTGAACAATCTGACTTTATTTTTCTTTTTTCCTTATTATCTTTTAGAATTAATGGCATTCTATATTTAACAATCGTTGCTGATCCTGGTATTGCTAGGTAAAAATAAGCTATTTTGCAAAATGCCAAAGCCAGCAGGGATATGGGTATAAATTATTAAGATATGCATACAGAAGGCTTAATAATTTGTCTCTATACATATGTATTACTTGGGTCTCTGATGTGAAATTATAATTAAAAAGCATTGCGTGATCCATAAATAGCTAATTAATTAATTTATCTGAGAGTCCAAATTTATAGATGTCATGCTTGTGAAGACAGCCAATGCAAAGACACTAAGCTAGGGTTTGAAACCATAAAACAGTATCTGGTTACCCACTGTCACTTTTCATGGCATTTATAATTAAAGGGGGTTTTAAGTTTTAGAGTCTTGGGCTCCGTTTGATACACTCTTTCAAATATTATTCTTGGTTTTCTTAATAAAGTTAAATAGTAAAATTGACTTATTCTCAAAATATTATTCTATATTATTCAATTTCTTTTAAACCCCCCTAAATTTGTTAACTTAACTAAACACCGCTAAATTTTTTTTTAGAAATTACAAAAACACCCCAGCAACCCACTTTATACCAGATTTCGGCCACCACTGTCAGAAGCTGGTAAGAATCTGGTATAATGGCGCACTATCGGCTGAATCTGGCCGAAAAAAGCCAGATCTACAGCCAAAGACAGTCGTCAATGACGGCCGTATGTTTGGCCGTCGTTGATGACCAAATGCGGTAGATCTGGCTTTTTCTGGTGGATCTGGCCGAAAAATGCCATATCGGTGCACTACCGGCAAGATCCAATCGGTCATGCGCCGATACGATGACTCCGGCCACTCTCCGGCGGTGGTGGCCGGCTATTCTTATTTAATGGATAGGTTGGAGGTATTTTTGTTAACTTTTAATATTTTATTTAAATAAGAGTAAAAGCCAAGTAAGGGCAGAGTTGTGAAACTGCATTGGCCACTGTCTCACCACTTGTGAAGGCGTAGCTGATGACATGGCGTAGAGCAAGTACCACCACAGCTTCTATCACGGCAATTATGAAAGAAACCAAGTTCACCATTACTACTGAAAATGCTGCTGACTTTGGGTTCCCAGCACCCAGCTCGTTGCTCACCCTCACACTAGTGTTTAATTATTATTATTATTATTATCGAATTCAAGCTGATTAATGAATTAAAGAAACACGACTGATTAGTGAACTAACCTTGCTGCAGCATTGAACCCAACTGAAACCATGAACAACAACCCCATCACTGACATGCTGCATATGAAACCAACATTCATTTAATTAATTGCCAGATACACTTGTAGCTATGAAAGAAAAAAAGATTGATTCATATTTGACAACAGAAAATCATCAATAAACTACTTGCTTTTAGTTTCACATAAGTAAGAAAGATACAGTTTCAGATATTCTGTATAATGCTTATTGAAACGATGCACCTTTTACATAGGTACGGTCTAATTTTTTTTTTTTTATTTAATGATCCACCCTTGTCCGAGCATTCTTTTCAGCAATCAGCATTTTCGCTGGTGCGTCAACATATACTAAAATACATCTTTGCCTTTTATAAGCAGTATCAAAAAACATGATGAAAAATCACACATTAATTGATTTTTCCTCTTTTCTCTAAAATATAACTTTATATGTCAAAACATAATAGCTCTGAGGAAAAAAAAAAGAATACTTCACCTAACAGTTCCAAATACTGTCAAAGTGAAATGATTATATACATTGTGAAGAGAACAGAAGCTGCCGTCAGACGCTTAAAACATTACCACCATTTGCTTTAAAAACTGACAAGACATTTGAAAAGAAAATATATGTAATAATGATGATGAGATTAAGGATTTGATTTGGGTTCCAAATATATATATATAGTGAAATTAGAGAAGGCAAAAGTAATGTAACAAATAAATTGTTACCAAACGGCAAGAGAGTCCAATGCAAGTTGAGGATTGTCGAGCAGGCCAGCAATCAAAACTAGTATTTGAAAGTACCATGTCTCCAAGCATAACATCACAGCCGATCCAGTTGAGAGTTTGAAAAATTCCCAAAGCCCAGAAAATGCCATCACGTTAAACCCAGTCCACGTGTGCTTACACTCACCGCTAATCAGGATGTATCCAAATTGCGCCCCAACTATTATCCACCAAGATAAACTCAAAACAAGTGATGCACCTATCAATCCCAATCCCAACTTGTACACAGCCACCCAGCTCAACAACAAGTGCACCCCAAGAGTTGCAGCTGATATGCATGAACTTGGAGCCACAATTCTTTGTGCTTGCAGGAACTTTTGTATGGGAAAGTTGACAGCATACGCAAAGATTTGTGGGATCAGACCCCAAACAAACACTGCAGCTGCAGATGCCAACTCCTCTGTTTCACCAAGTATGATCAAGATGGGTTTACAGAATATGTAAATCATCATCAGTGGGAGTCCGGTTAGAAGAAGGACGATTGTTGCTCTTTGGAGATATATGCCTAGCATTTCATACCTCTGAGCACCATAGGCTTGCCCACATAGAGTCTCCACTGCGCTTCCCATGCCTAGCTGCGCGCATCCGTTTAGCCACACAGATTTAAAATCACATAAGTGAAATTTGTATACATATGGCATTAATTTCTCAAATTAAATTAGATCGATCAATATGATTTTCCTACTTTTAGTTATTACCATGAGGCCATAGGCTAAGAGTTGAACTCCGCTGTTGCCGAGAGAAGCAGCAGCAAGCTGAAGATTCCCAAGATGACCGCAGAAGAGGCGGGTAGAAAGGGACATGAAGTTGTTGATCAAGTAAACCAAGACAGCTGGTGCAGCCAGCGGGAAGAGTAGCTTTAGTTCCAGCCATGAGGCCAACTGCAGACGCTTGAAATATGGCAACTGCGCGTCAGATAACACCCTCTCAAGTCTATAGTCAATTCCATGACGACCTTCGATCAAGATGGGTTCATGGACCCCTTCTTCTCCAGATTCCATGGTTTAGTTTGCACTAGTACTACTGGTTGTTCTGTTATTGGTGGGGTTTTACAATAATTAGATAATATATTTTCACTTAGAAAACGTATATATACAACAATTTTTTTGCTTTTACTCTTGATTGGATGCTGTACGTTGGTTTGATTGCCATGTCACCAGTGCTGTTTTAGAATTTTTTTTGAAAAATTATTAGTTTTGTTTCTTAATTTGAAGGATATTTGGAGTTGTTGAAAAAATTGTATAATTAAGGGCCTGCTTTATGTAAAATTTAAATACAACTTTTCGTTTTAGAAAACAAGGCACAACAAATCTTATCAAAATACGTTTGGTTGAAATGAGTTAAAATGATTTCGAAAGCATATTTTGTATACAATCCTAAAAGTTAGTATATATATTAAAAAAAAAAAAAAAAAAAGATTAAAAGTCATTTTCATAATTTTTTTTTTAGGCTTAACCACATCTTCCCACCCAAAGTTTGCCGTAACGACAATTTATTATCCGAAAAGTTTGAAAATGACAATTCTCCACTTTTCGTGAAGAGTTGTTAGTAAAATCCGTTAGAAGAAGTACAATATGGTAAATTTTCATTCAGCCGTAATTTAAAATTCTTGTCTATGGCCATGTGTCAATCACTTTTTAATATTTTTTTATCCTTTTTCTTTTTTTTTCTTTTTCTTTTCTCTCTTTTCATCCCATCTCTTCTTGATAAGAGCTTGAAAATATATGTTTATTTAGTGATTTATTAAGATTATCTGTGGGAAAATTAGTTTGAATTGTGAAATTTTAAATTAATTATTTCATAATTATCTTTTGTGGGATCATAGATATATTTTGAATGTTTTCTAGTAAATAAGGATAAAAATACATTTAGATAAAGAATAACACGAGTTAACAAATGGTTTGATAATCGGAGTTGAAATCAGGAGGTTATGAAGTTTTGAAGATTAATTGCAAAATTTGGAAAAAAATTTAACTATTGAGCATGTCTCGGTATTTTGATAATATTTGGAGTTGTAGACCTCGAATTTAGATAATTTTTGGATTGTTGGAAAGCTGATGAAGAGGGCTACAATTCATATCTAATGACTTTGTCAAATTCAGAAGGATTCATACGTGAAAATGAATGTCCTTGTGTGGCATAGTTGGTTCTGGACTAAAGTGGAAGATCACGATTTGCGTTCATGTCGCGGTACAGTTAACTCATGCTGCGCATGACAACAATTTCCTAAAAAATCTGGATTTATCATAATTACGAATTTTTGTGGATTTAAGGGTTCTAATCTAAATAGGACTGTTGTAAACACACTCCTAAAACCCTAGCATTATAACTAGATGCCTTTAGCTATTATTTAGAGAGGAGAAGAGGATAGAGAGGAGATTAGCTGCTATTTGTAAATCAAAACATTAACTCTTGGGGATTTGGTTCATCGTCTAGGGAAGTTTTCTTTCATTTTTCTTAAACGTATGTTTACAATGGTTGTCTATTTTTATTTGATTATGAACTAAGTAAAGTTTCTAGGGCTAAGATGTAGCCCAAGTTCATGAATATGTGTTGATTGATTATTGTTAATAATTGGTAAGCATTATTTTCTAAGTTTTATTATGGTTCTTAATGCTTCAATTATATTTGTACCGAGAGTTAATTGATCTAATGGACTAGGTTGAGATAGAGAGATGATATCAGTTGGTCTAGTGTAATAAAACTATAGGTTGAGTGAACACTAGAGATAGTTTATCGCAATCTGTGAGGCTTTGGCAAATTCCATATAGCGGAATGATCTCTTAAGACTTAAATCCAATTTAAAAGATATCTTGGGTTAGTAATAAAAAGTTAATCCAATAATTGTTCGAGAGAAAGTTATTCAAATTCTAGGGAGTTTGGCCTATAGAAAAAGCTTAATGATTTTAGCAATAAATATCATTACATAGGAGTAGAATTGGTGTGAATTCTATGCCCTAGGTTTAGTTATATTGTTTAACAACCAACCTTTTATTTGATTTGCAATTTGATTTTTTTATTTTTTTAGTTCTTAGTTTTGTTTTAATTTGTTATTTTTAGTTATTTCATATCTCCAATTTTTGGTTAATCAAATAGTAATAGGATAGTTTATTTTGGTAATTGGTAACTAATAATTCTCTAGGGTTCAATATCTGTTTACTCAAACTGTATTACTTCCACAATTTTGTACATTTGCGAAACACCTGTCAAGTTTTTAGATGTGTTTAATTGTTTTTGTTTTTTTAATTAATTTGTTCTTTTTGTAAGTCTTAGTTTTTAGGTGTGTTTAATTGTTTTCTGTTTAGTTCAAATAATTTTCATATTGTGTTTGTTTCTCTAAATTCCTAAATTTTAACAAACGATGTGTGTTGTCGATAAGGTGCACCATAAGTACCACAATGGAATGAAACGAGTTGGTGATCGAATTGTCACATGAATTGACATTTCACTATTGCAAAAAGGGGGGTAAAGTTTCCTTTTCTCTTTTTCCTTTTGTTTGCAGTTGTGCATTGGGGACAATGTAGATTTTAGGTTGGGGTAAGGGAAGTCTCTTCCAAAAATTTCGGAATTTATAAGGAATTTTTTTGTGTTTTGTTTTGAATTTTCTTTAGTTTCTTGGATTAATTTGTATGTCAATAGTAGTATTATGATTACAATAACATGTAACATGTAGAAGAAGTTAATTTTTGCCTTGGTTTAGAGATGATTTTGAGCGTTAATTGCATCTAGTTTGAGGCTCTCTTGGTTTTTGGTATGAATTCTTGATTAGTCTAAATGCTTAGAGAATTTTTATTTGTGAATCTTTCATAAGACATTTTTACAATCTCAACAAACTCTAGAACTCACTTGATGACCACTTAAGGTGAAATCTTAGAGTTCACATTACTTAGGAAATGATTTAGGGTATTTTTTTTGACCGATTAAGCCTTTCAAGTCAAGTATTTATTTAATTATCCTTAGTTAACCCTTTGAGCCATTTGTAAACACATTTTAGCCTTGTTTTTCTTTCATTTAGCCTATTATAACATATATTTATGATGAGCCTAAAACACATTCCTACCTTTAAATTTTTTTTGCAGTAGGACTAGCCTATTAAGAGACTAGTCCTACTGCAAGCTTGGTGAGAGTACTTAGACAAGTGTGGGTGGAGAGTTGCGAAGTTTTCTTCCCACTACCCGAATTTATGCTAAGAAATAGGGCAAAGAGTTGTGGAGTGTTTAGAATCTTAAGGTGGGTTGTATGTTGCTTTCTTCCTTAAAAAAATAATTAAAAAAAAGAAAAAAAAAAGAAAATGAAAAGAAAAGAAAAGTTAGGAAGAATTGCGAATTGAGAAACATTGTGGTAGTGTGAAAATGTGCAAGTGGGTTTGTGCTAGTGTTGAAGAGAAAAGCTGAATAAAGTTTTGGAAAATGTTGTAGTGTTAATTGATTGTGATGAGAAGGAATGTTGATTAAGCTTTTTTAAAAGACCTATTGATCTGAGGTAGTATGGTAATTCTACATTGGTGGAGAGCAGTTTGAAAAGTGAGCCTATGGAGTTTTATTTTACGATTTCCATGTGAGTTGTGTTGAAAAAAAAAAAAAACTAGAGATCAAATTCTTTGTCTGTGAATGTTGTGCATAAGATCATCTAGGTCTTTAGATTAATGGTTTGTGGTTGAATGAATGTTTGAGGATCGATAACGAAAATGGAATTGATGTTTGTACTATCTTTGGGCCGGGGTGACTTTTAATTATTCTATTTGTTATGTGTGTATGCAATGTTTTAGAAAATTATATGAGTTGATGCAACAACTACTGTTTCTGTTTGTTTTTAGTCTGGAGTCTAGGTTAGGTTTAGTGTGGATGTTTGTGGGTATCATCACTGGAAACCCTCACGCGACTACAACTTGTCCAACTAGGGCCGCATTGGGGTTTAAAGGTTTGTTGCTTACGCTAAATGTAACAGTGACAATCTACGGAAGTGATTTAGGTTAGCTTAGATATAGGTTTTAGTTTGTTTATTTTTATGTTTATTTTCAAGCTAAAAGACTTGTTTTATCGCTTAGCTTTTGCTAGGGACTAGAAAGAAGCTGGTTGGAGGTTGTGATAAGAGCTTGAAAATACATGTTTATTTAGTGATTTATTAAGATTATTTGTGGGAAAGTTAGTTTGGATTGTGAAATTTGAATTAATTATTTCGTAATTATCTTTTGTGGGATCACAGGTTATTTTGAATGTTTTCAGGTTAATAAGGATAAACTTATGGAGGCTCATGATACACCATACACTTCTCATCCTGGAGCAACCAAGATGTATCAAGATGTAAAGAAAGGCTATTGGTGGCCAGGTATGAAAAGAGATATTGTAGAATTTGTAGCTAAATGCCTAGTTTGTCAGCAGATGAAAGCAGAACAGCAAAGGCCGTCAGGGTTGCTTCAGCCACTTAGTGTTTCGGAGTGGAAATGGGAGAGCCTCTTGATGGATTTTATCACAGGCCTCCCAGAGTACAGAAAGGGTATGCTATATGGGTGATTGTGGATAGATTAACTAAGTCAGCCCATGTCCTTCTAGTAAAGGAGAGCACCACTACGGATCAGTTGGCTTAGATTTATATTAAAGAGATAGTCAGGTTGCATGGAGTGCCCAAGATGATAGTGTCAGATAGAGATTCCATGTTTGTTTTAGCTTTCTGGATGAGTTTACAGAGGAATTTGGGTACCCGTTTGGCATTCAGCACTGCCTATCATCCTCAAACGAATGGCCAAACCGAGAGAACGAATCAGGTGCTTGAGGATATGTTGAGAGCCTGCAGTATGGATTATAGAGTTTCATGGCATGAGATGTTACCCTTGGTGGAGTTTGCCTACAATAATAGTTACCAATCTACAATTAAGATGGCGCCTTACTAGGCTTTGTATGGTAGACGATGTAGGTCTCCACTACATTGGGATGAGATAGGTGAAAAGGATGAGTTGAGTACCGCTCTTGGGCCAGAAATGACTCAGAAAATGATAGAAGATGTAAGATTAATCAAAAATAGAATGAAGCAAGCCCAAGAT